AGTTAGATACAGTTGTGAGCCCAGTTTCAAATGTGAAAAATCTGAGGCATGGAGAGGGTAATGCCAGCCCCAGCTAGAAAGTCAGAAACTTCTGATGGCAGCCCAGAAAATCTGGTTCTAAAGACCACTGCAATACAGGCACACTTAAATGCAGATTGGTTTCTAGACATGGGCTTGCACAAGGATTGTGCCCTCTTTTGTTCCTGGTTAAATTTGGGTTATTTAGTAAGAGAATGAAAGTGTATTTCCACAATAGTCTGGTATGAGACAGTTTATGAACACTTCATTAATAACAGCAAAATAATGTATATGGGCTAATTGTCCTTTACAACAAATAGATTAACTGAACTGTAATAATATTCAGATAGCAGAATTATTTGATATAAGAAGGAATGGACACGCACAAACACACAACTGTGCATGCACACTCAGAAGTTGGCTCGGTGGGTGAAGCACTTGCCTTGCAAGCACAGAGATCTGAGTTCAAGCCCCAGCATCACATACATGCTGGCCAGGATGCAACCTACCTGTGATTCCATCACTGGGCAGCCAGAAACAAGAGATTGCTTAGTGCAAGGTGGCTAGCTATATTAAGCTGTGTAAGCAAGCTTCGGGCTTTCTCGAGGAATTCTGTCTCAATGAATAAGGTTGAGGATGACTGAGGAAGACTCCTGAAGTTAGTCTTGCATCTTTACATGCATTTATAGTCATGTACATGTGCACAGAAACATGTGAAAACACTCATACATGCATGTTCACTACAGGTACACAGCCACACGCAAAAAGTTATGGATGACTCTTTTAATTTTATGCTCAGTGAAAATGTTAGACACAAAAGCTCACACACCGCATGGTGTCTATGAAGTTCAAGAAGGGGAGAAATGATATGTAGAACTTAGAATAGTGATTACTTCTTGGCTGAGAATGATAATACTCCATGTTTTGACTGGTCAGAAGTCATTAATTTGTGCCTTTTGTCTAATGTCTGTGTATTTCTTGTATTTTTATTACACATACACACTACAAATTGAAGTTCCCTTTTCCCACAATCCTATTTCAAAGTTTTGTTTATTTTGTTTCCTTCTTCAGTAGTTAGTAGCAAGCGTGGTAGACCGATGTGAGATTTCCAGAAGTTCCCATTTATGTTTGTGTGTATACAAATGTGTTTATATTTTCACATATAATCAAGACTGTACATATCATCCTAATATCCGCTTTGCCTGTTTATGATGTCTTGGAAGTTTTTCATCCCATTTTAGTCTTTTAGCTAGCTGGATCTTATACTGCTAATGTACTCAATTCTGTAGTCAATTGCATTCGAATGGACACGTGAAAGTTGTCAAATTTCCATTTCTGTGGCTTGGTGTAAAAGGTTTTGTGAGTGTATCATGTTTGTGTGCAAGTGCTTTTGTGAGTTTCTTTCCTAGAAGAAAGAATCTTGGCAAACAGGTATGTGCACTTTGAATATCGCCAAACTAGTTCAGGAGTGCTTTTTGCGTTAGCCTCCCCTGAGCACACAGGAGAGAGCTGGGTTCTATATCCTCCCTGACAATAGTGCCAGTTTTGAAAGTTGTTTAGAGTAGGTAGGTAAAAAGTGACATCCTGGTGCTTCTGCTAAGATTTCAAAAGAAGTTTTGCTTTTCTCCTACATAAATACAAATGCACACATCTCTGCCTTTGTGGGAACATGTATTCCTCCTGCCCAGCATTCTCCAGTCTAATTCTGGAGGTCTAAGCCTCACATGATCTAACCAGAACTTACAGAACACTTTCTAATTCTACTTTTACAGAGTGTTCAGGTGGAAAGAGCAGGCTTCTGTGTTCAAAGCCACTGATGATCTGTATACCTATTGGAAAAATTTAATCCAAACTCTTAAACACTTGGAACCCTCTATGAGACCAGTCAGTTTAACTTCAGTATTGAGACTGAGTGTACCATTATACTTTTCAATGAATCATTCCTCCCTTTTGTTGTTATTTAATTATTGTTAATGATTCATTTATTTATGTGTTTATTGGGTGACCCAGAGGCCAGGAGAAGGGTTAAGTGCCTGCCTGTATCACCTTCCGCCTATTCTTTCCCTGAACCTGGTACCTGTGTTTTCCTGGCTAGGCTGGGAACTGGAGAGCCCCACAATCCTACTGTCTTTACTGCACCTTGGAAGTTAAAGCTATAGGCACACATGGATGCCCAGCCTGTTACAGGAGTGCTGGGACCCAAACCCCAGTCCTCATGATTGCACAGCAAGAGCTCTTACGTGCTAAGCTGTCTCTCCAACCTCTTTATTCTTTCATTTGTATCTTAGATGCATTCTAAATGGCAATACCTTGGGGAACAAAACTCAAGTGAACCCCACGGGACTGCAGAGTTGCCCATTGGGTGGGAGTTAAGAAACAGACACAAATGGCATTTTCCTCAGAGATTTTAGCAGCAAGAGAGTGTTGCAGTCTATGCCCCTGCAGACCTGCCTTCCAAACGTTAAGAACACAGAAGGCTATTTCGAGGTCACCACCTTGATTTACTCCGGTGTGATTCTGCGGGTGGAAAGATGAGGGACCAGGCAGGCTTCTTGCAGCTGTTGTTACTGGACGCTGTGAGTGTCCCAGAAAACCTCACAGTGGCCATGCTGTCACTGAGCACCACTGAGCTGCGCAGACACCATGTCCTAAGCAAGGAACCTGGGCTTGCTACATTTCTCACTACATTTCCTTTAACTGCCTTCCCAGTTACCATTTCAGCAGTCTGCCTAGAATGAAGAGTTGTTTCCTACCTGGAGCTCTACCAACCTTCTCTGCATGCAACCCTTGTTTCTCCTTCCTTCCTACCTTGGAAGGAGAAGGACTCCCTTCCTTCTCAGTTTTCATGGACATTAGAAGAGAGTCTAGCGACTAGAAATGTATCTGAAAGCCACTGTACCTCACAGGGAAGGCATCTGCAGGGTTGCTGCTGGCGATAGTCATGTGGACACTGCTTATTCTTACCACACGGCCCCGCTTATCTGATAGGCCCATGTCCTAAGCAGCGCCACTTGCGATCCAGCTTTTCTTTTGTCAACTTCTGCATTTTCAATAAAGCAGTGTTGGAGGAAATGACTGAAAATGCTGAAGAGAGTCCCCACTATAACCACAGAACTTTATATCTTCATTTTTCTTAGCCATTCATTCCAAGTGCAGAAAAGCTTTAAAAGATATGTGGACTTGAAATCCGGCATCATCTGTCTATCTATCTATCTATCTATCTATCTATCTATCTATCTATCTATCTATCTATCTATCTAAAAACCACTGTCATCTCCGTAGAAATGAATTCTTTGTGTTTGGCTTACCTAGAGAATACTATATGAGCTCCTTATATAAACACTTGCCAACTGAACTTTATTTTATTTGTGTATACTTGGGTAAGGGACATTTAGCAGTTGGTTCTGTTTAATGGTATACATTAATATAAAATTATTTCTGTTTGAGAGTGTTCTCTAGGTAAGAAAACCCAGGTTTGATGTTAGTTCTTTTGGCAAACTACTTTCTATACAGGCATGAGGAGCTGAGTTCAGGGCTCCGGCACCTGTGTTAAAAAAATAAAAGGAGTTTTATATTTGCATTCCACGGGCTGGACATGTAGAGACAGTAGAGTCCTTGAGGCTTGCTAGTCAGCTGGTCTACCCAAATTGGTGAGCTGCAGGTGTATTGCTCTTGTGTGTCACTTTCCTGGAGTGGGATGGAGAGGAGTACGCCATCCTGTAAGGACTAAAGGAAGAGTAGCTCGTGGAGAGCTGCCTTCATCTGTTTTTGCTCTTTATCATCCAGTTCTCTTTTTGTTTATATTCCTCAGTCTGCTGTCCTGGGAGCCAGGGGTTGCTGTCCTCGAAGTGCTGAGGACAGGAATGAAGGGATTAGAAAGGATGCCAAGGCTTCATTCCTTAGCCTCCTCTTCATGTCCCTGATCCCCAGACCTTGGTGCTGCTTTCCTGCCTCCTTACATGTTAGATTAGAGTTATCATAGTTGCAATGGACCTGCTGCCTAAATCTGTGGAATGTTCTGCTAAATGCTTCTGCTGTAATTGTCTACATTAAGCCTGTAATTCCCATTTTTAATTTAACCCACTTTTTATATTTTGTCTTTTTCCATCTTGGCACTTTATGCTGTTAGGATTTGGCATCCTATGAACTTTTACCCCAAGTACCAGGTCCTTGGGAAACACTGTATTTAGCCAAACTATTACTTTGAGCTATGTGTTACCAGTGTGTTTGGTTAGAGACTCCGGGTTGTTATTTTAAAAGTGGAAGTAATGTATTATGATCTCAGAAAAGAACATGATCCAAAAGAGCAATAATAATGAGAACAGCAGCTACCTAGAAGAAAGCAAACACTGCCTCACAGACCACTGGGTTTCATGTACCCTGTCCACTAGTCTTTGGTGACCAATCTCTTTCCTCACTTCCCTTCCCACCTTGGCAGTATTCTTGTAGCCCTCTGTTTCCCTGAAGTCAAATTTCATCTGTCTTTCTACCTAAGGAGCTTTCTACCTGGAGAGCTCGCTCCTCTGTGGGGGAGCCTCTACCTGGGGTGCTTCTTCTAGTTGGCTCCCTTGACCTGCTTTGGAAACATTTCCCTGACCACAATGTCTAAATTCATCTCCTTCCATCATCTGTCTATCCATGTATGCATGCCATTATCTCTCATGGCATGCTGTTTACTTCCATCAACTTTAGGAAACCCAAATTGTATCTCTTGGTATTTGTCTGTCTTCCTCCGGCATTTACTGCATGAAAACTACACTTGTTTCACTCACCATTGACACTCAAGTGCCATCCTGACACCTGCCATTTGTGGGTGCTCAGCACCCACAATCTTGTGTTTGGATAGATGTAGGATTCTTAGAACCCCTATCTTCCTTAGGGGGTGCCAGGATAGTCTGCACCTAGTACTTGCTGGATTTGCTGTGACAACACATGCCTTCCCTGTAGTTGAATTATAACCATGCTGTGCTGGCTTTCCTCAGGCACATGAAAGATCAGAATAAGAAGGTGGCCAACCTCAAGCACAACCAACAGTTGGAGAAGAAGAAAAATGCCCAGTTATTAGAAGAAGTCCGCCGGCGAGAAGATAGCATGGCTGACAACTCCCAGCACCTGCAGGTGAGTTCAGGTTTGGCATCTTATTTCCTAAAAGTTTAGACACGAACTGTGGGCTCTATCTAGTGCTACAGGAACTTATGCACAGGAATGGTGGACTTGACTTTACCTTGGGTCTGGCATATCCTCAGGGAATGCAATAAGTCTACTCAGTAGAAAGCATCATTTCTGAAATGATCAAGAAGAGCTGAGTTTGAAAAATTCTGGAAATGGTCCACAGAGATGATTCCTTCCTGTATCTCAACTTAAAAGGTAAGGACTGCAATTACATGGTTGGCAAGTAGATTCTGTTTGGAAGTGTGTTTAAGTTGTGTGGGGTGGGGAAGGGATGCCTGTCATTATCACAAAAGGCATTCGGATGCATTCCTCTGATCTCAGTTTACAAAAACCAAGGTTCCAAAGTAGATCGTTATTCTGTCTTCTCGGTGAATGTAGTGGATATAGTTATCTCTCAGTGATAGACTTACCTCAGAAAGCGACGGCTGGACCAAAACACCAATTTCTCCTCATTACCCGTGTCTGCTTTGGAACAGAACTCTCTCTGTGTGCTCAATAAAACATTCAAGCTGAAACAGGACGTTGGCTTTGAAGTGCTTTTATTTACTCCAGTCCTGTCTTTAAACAGAGCAATTTGAGTTCAACTTGGCTTGAGTTCACGTTAAATTCTGCTTATTAGTTAGTGTCTTCAGGCAGTTATATATTAGTTTCCTCCTTGGAGATAGAAGTAGATAATTCCACTCTGTACTCATAGTTCATCCTTCTAATTGACCAAAAGAGAAATGAATAATTATTCTGGAGCAGGAAAGTCTGTATCGCATCACACATAGAAGTTTCGTAGTCAGGCATTTGTTGGTGGCTCTATGTTGACTGCCCTTTGCACGGATGCTTCATCTAGACTCCACAGTAACTTAGACTGGGCTGTTTTTTCAACTCTGGCCCATGGGTTCTAGCTGAATTGTGCCTATAGCTTCCTTACTACTCTTGACAGGTCCTGTCCAAGGGTTGAGATTTTAATATTTTTGTCTGTCACAGATGTTATATTGAAGTCTAAAGACTGAGATAATAACTAAAACTAAGATTAAAAACTATGGTGAAGAACACCTTAGTTTTATTTTAATGTCATACATATATTATTTGCAACATCTATTCCTCACAACAATGTTGATTTTTCTTTTTTACATATGGTGTAACTGGAAGTCATAGAAAGATTCTGAAGGACTCGTGTATGAATGAATGAATGAATGAATGAATGTAGAGAGACACAGCAGTGAAGGCACCTTTCACTGACTGCTTTAGTATTGGAGGATTTGCAGCCCTATGTATATTTGCTGGTACCCCAATCACACTGCATGCTACCTGAGCTACAGGGCTCTTAAGCATGAATTGTGGAGTACAACTTTTTTTGAACTATAAAAACTGGAAGTCTTTTTTAAAAATTTATTATTTTTTATATTAATTACAGTTTGTTTTCTTTGTATCCTAGCTATAGCCACCTCCCTCATTCCTTCCCAATTCCACCCTCCCTCCCTCATTTCCTTCCGGCCCCCCTCTAAGTCCACTGATGGGGGAGGTCTTCCTCCTCTTCCATCTGATCCTAGCTTATCAGGTCTCTTCAGGGCTGGCTACAATGTCCTCTTCTGTGGCCTAGCAAGGCTGCTCCGATGATCAATCCTTAGTTAGAAAGACAAATGGGATGGACATTGGAAATAGGACAAAACAAGAAACAGGACAGGAACCTACCACAGAGGGCCTCTGAAAGACTCTACCTAGCAGTGTATCAAAGCAGATGCTGTGACTCATAACCAAACATTAGGCAGAGTGCAGGGAATCATATGAAAGAAGGGGGAGTTAGTATGACCTGGAGAGGACAGAAGCTCCACAAGGATCAAATATATCTGGGCACAGGGGTCTTTTATGAGAATGATTCTCTAACCAAGGACCATGAATGGAGATAACCTAGAACCCCTGCCCAGATATAGCCCATCGCAGCTCAGTATCTAAGTGGGTTCCTTAGTTAGGGGAACAGGGACTGTCTCAGACATGAACTCAATAACTGGAAGTCTTATGGTTAAATTAACTGCAAAGTCTCCATTCAACTACACCCTGATTGAATTCAGATATCCCAATAGCAGTATCAGCTTCTGCTTCCATCCTCCTGCAGGGGCGCTGTGCTCTCCATTCCTATCTTCCTGCAGAGTGCTTTGCTCTCTGTTTACATCTCTGTATAGGTATGCTTTGATTTCTACCCCTCATTCTCCACAGGGATGCTTTTCTCTCTGCATTTTCCTTCCGGGACACTTTGTACTCCGTTTCTATCACCCTGCGGGGATAGACCCTCTCTTCTTCCATCCTCCTGCAAGAATGCTTTGTTCTCTTCTTCCGTCTGCCTGAATCCTGTGGCTTAAAGGGTTAGGAAGTTTCTCTATAGGTGCTGGCTGGAAGCCAGTCTGTCTTCATGGAAGGCAGCCCCTGCGAAGGAAGAGAATAGCCGTCTAGCCGTCATAGGAAGCATGCAAGGAGAGGTGAGAGGTGCACGTTGGTGGGCCTCAATTAGGTTGTTGATTTACCTGGAGCCCAGGAGAAATGCTTAGTCTCACCTAGATCCCTCCTCCGCTAAAGGGGGAGTAGGTGACAACACGCAAGATAGAAATAAGTCCTGCTAACTGGAGGGTTGGGAAGAATAAATAACAGAGCTATGTCATAGCTGAGTGACTGGAGCCCCCATGTTGTGTCTGAAAATGAAAACAGTGTGCTTCCCAGTTAGCAGGTGGCAGACCCTGGACTTAGCTAAAATCTAACTCTCCTTAGATGAGAATTTTAGAGAATTAGGATGGCAGGGAACCATGAAATGGTAGAGTCCTTGTGGGTTCACGGACTTTGACCCCAGTGCACTTGAGATGTGAGAAGTGAACAACAGAGACAGCCTTTCCCCTCCCCCTCCAGGCCTCCGAACCATCGAAAAGTGTTTGACAACTTGGCAGGGCACCGTACAGTCTGAGCATAAACCATAAATCATCATGTGCTTGGAGTGAAAGTTCCCATTGAAGGAATTACTGTTGTTATTCCTCTCTTGGCTCTGGATTTCATTCCAAGGTTCAGAATATCTGAACTGAGAATTCCTGGAAGGACTGCTTAGCTTCCTACAGCCTCGTCTGAGAAGCAGGAATGCTTGCTTCTGCTTTAAGTTCTGTTAAGGCTGAGTCGGTGCTTCTAAAGAGCTCTGAAGTGCTCTCAGCACAGGCTGTGCTTATAATAAATGCTGATAATTGACTGTTTTTAGAACAAAAAGAAAAGATGAAAAATCATTTTAAAAAAGTTGCTTGGGGTCGGGGAGGTGGCTCACAGGGTAAGGGCACTTGCTGCTGAGCCTGACCACAAGAGGTAGTTTCCTGAAACTCACATGGGAGAAGGAAATGACTAACCCCCACAGGTTGCCGAGTCACATGTGCACCACAGACATGCGTGCACATGCACACACAAACACAGTAAAAAGCCGTGTGGCATGTGCAGAGTATTTGCATAGTTGAGCTTTAATATACATTAAGCATCAACATGTGTGTCTTTTCTCTGTGTAGCAATTTCTTCTTTTTTTCAGGACACATCTAGTTATGGAAATTAATGTCTTGTTTTGGCCCATGAACTTTTGTAGAGCAGTATTTTCTTAAGGGGCCTTGATAACTACCTCATAGACCAGTTCATAAAAGATAACATGGTCTGGAATTACTCAGTTGCATTCCTGACCACCCCAAATAAAGGATAACATTTGAAATGCAATAAAAAGTAGTCACAATTAATTTAGATGGAAATGTCTCTGGTTAAGGTTAATAGGGAGTGATTCTCCCACTTGCCCGAATTTTCAGCGGATTGGCTGAGATGCAGTAGATGCTCCTCATTCTTAATATTAGTGTTTTTATAAGTACTTTCTGTTTATATGTTAGTCTGTTAAACCCTTTAAGTATTAAGTATCAGCCAGAATTTGGTTTGTGTGTTTGAAAGCTTGGAGCCCGCTAATTTGATTTGTTTTTCACTATGTTTGTGATGATTGGGTGCCTTGACTTCATGATTTTACCCAACTAAATAGATGTGGTATTTAGAAATAGAGTAGGAGCCCATTGCTCTAATAGTGATAGCTTCTAAAAGAGGCTTCAAATAAGGCCTCAAGTCAGGGGTGGGGAGGGGGTTAGGACTGTAATCCTAGCACCAGTACACTGAGACAGGAAGAAGTCCCAGCTTGGCCTACATAGTGACACTCTGTTAAAAGGAAGAAAGGAGGAAGCATACAGGAGGTAGGGAAAAACAAGAGAGAGACACACACAGAAAGAAAGACACACATACAGAGAGAGAGAGAAAGACACACACACACACACACACACACACACACACACACACGGAATACTCTGAGTTAAAAGAGATGAGCACTGAACCTCAAGCAGAAGTGAAACCAGGGGTTTTTGTAATGATGTTGGCCAAATACAAGGCAAGCTATATGATGCAGATAAGCTGGAGCTCTTGAGGCCCCAGCAGGGCGCCTCCCCTGAAGAGCCAACAGCCATCTGATAGAGCACACCATCACCTGACCTACACAGCTGTCCAGGGAAGCCTGTAATGTCCCCGGAGACCATCCTTTTTTATAACATAGCTATGTATCAGCACTTTATGTAAATATTGTTGACCAAGTATTGTCAGCAGCAATAGTGAGAGAGCACCCCTTGCCATAACCACTGACCCATCAGACCCTGAGACATGAAACCCAGCCTCACACTCTTGATCCAGTGTCAGATTTTTACTGTATAGGTACTGTCTTTGCTTTAGCATATGTGTCTCTTGTGGAAATAAACATTTGGTTACAAAAAAAAAAAAAGTAATGATAAAGTTAAAGAATTACCATTTTGTTTATTGTTTAAACAAGGACACTGCTGTGTCCAGAATGGCTTCAGGGATGGATCAGACTGGATTGTCCAAGGAGTGAAGACAGATGGACATGTGGACAGACAGCTGGGATC